GAGTAATTCCACATAAAAATCCGCCGCAAAGCGTCGCTTCGTCATAACAGTTTCTATCGAAATAGATATTTTCTAAAACGAAGAGCATTGTGAATCTCATCCCATTCAGACGAGGTATACCAAACCACAATCTCAGTAGGCGTATACGGTAGATACGGTGGAAGATCAACTTCGTGAAGTCGTAAGAAACTTGTGTAAGGATGTCATATACCTCTCCCCCCACGCAAAGTTTCATATGGATTCGCAATTTTGAATTTATATCGTATTTGCCGTATACCTCAGATGGTATACTATAAGATTCGTCCGGACAAGCTGAGTCCAACAATGCTTTTCATTTGAAAGATACCTGCCTTGAAAGATATAACCAGCGACGCTTTGCGGTAAATTTTCATCTGAAATCACATTTTTTGCAAATTTGTGAGCGGTGGATTTGGATACAATGAGTGGCTTTTAAACATGAATGAAGCAAATAGAACTTGTTGCAGTTTCCTATTGACTTGAAACTCCATTTCTCAGTCAAAGATACAAAATGGAAAACTTTTAACAAAAGGTGAGCTTTTTGCAGAGCAGCAGAAGGCCTTTTAATCTATTTAAGGCATTGGATTGAGAATTTGAAAAATGCTTAAAAATGAGCGTCAGGAAAAATTATTGGAATTCATATAACATCTTCATGAATACTAAACAACTGATGATAGATTTTTGTCATCATTACCCTGTAATGAGCACGATTATCCCGAGATAGTTCAACGCCAAACTTGCAGGCACAGCAGCGGGTAGACCAAAGAGACCGAACCTGGAGGAAAATGCTAATAGTTTAAATATCTACAGTGCGTATCAGAGCTACGTATCCACCCATGTCATTCTGTATCAATCTGTAACATAACACAAAATAATTTGCTTGAGCTGGAACTACCTGTACTGTTTGACTCATTAGCAGAAACATCTCACTACTTTTCTAACTCTGCTTTACAACATATTAATTTTAGGTCATTACATCAAAACTACACATCCACTTGCCGCCAATAAACAAATTTGTCAATTTATGTAGCAAAACGTCCACTTTCAAGGAATGTAAAAATTCGGTTGTTAAAAAGTTATTTTCGTAGGCTTGGCTATCTTTACAACCTAATCAGGTTTGCAATGCATACGTAGAGTCAACGCTATTTTTGCTAGAGCTCCCATGAATTTTGTAGATACGATGCATAGGTTCTTTATTTCCATAACTGTGAGCATCTTGCCACGTTCGACTGTTCTTGAGTCTTGGTATTTCGAAAACTTGAAGTGCACTGATTTTAGCATTGAACCAAGATTTTAACTGCCCTTTATTGGTT